GGCTGTTTCTTCAACAAATTCATCATCAAGATCGGTTGTGCTGACTGCTTGCATCTGTTGAAGGCGCTTGCCTCCGACTCCTGGGTGCTACATTGTTAAAAATTGCTTATTGGGTGAGAACGATTTTATATAATTTATGAGAAAAAAAGTTAAAATGTGCATACAGGTAAAGCAAAGACACTGAATTCTTTGAATGATTTTTTAATGCCTTCAGCAGCTGTTGATGTTGGGGAGAAAAAACGTTGGCTTTAGCACAACTTTCTGCATATGCAGAAACTAGACAAAACAAATACCTTCGCGACTGGTTCTTGCTAAGTTATCCAAGAAGTATGTTTTTAACGAATCTGGTTTTTCTAGGCTAAAATCTCTAAGCAGGATTACTAGATGGGGTAGGTACTTGCTATCCTCTGGAGGTTGGATATATCTGGATAAATCCCGCATTAAAAACAACTTGCCAATGTCGCCACTTCCTACCACCCCGTTTATATTGTAGATAAAAGTCGACGAAAGCACAAGGCAAAGAATGAACAGCTTGGTTGCCCATTCCGCCTCCTGTTTCGGGTCATCGATGCCTTCGGTATCGAGCACAATAACTCTGTTGTTGAATATCTTATTAATATGTATATATATGACTTAACTTAACATGCTAACTTACAGAACATCGCAAGACGGACTGATGTGTACCTTTTGCCTTCGTAAATAAAAGGTGTATCCCACATGTAGATACCCCTTGTACAGCCGTTAACTTGCGCTCCGAGTTCAAATCCATCATGCCGACCATGTAATGCATTAGCGAACCTAAACAATTGTAGTAAATAGTTAGACAATTGATTGCCGATTCTTTCTGCTTAACACTTTGCTGCAACGCTCTACTCGACTAGTAACTATTTGACTTAACAAGTTAGTAGCGATAACCTATATACAGATTAAATATAAATGCAATCTTACCATGACTTTCCTCTTCTGTACGAGCCGACTAATATTTGAGTATCATCGAAGTTAACTTTTTTTTTGTCAATTTTACGACTAACATTGATAGAAATTGATATTTACCGACAGCTATTACTGCTACGGGCTCTTTTATCCGTTGTAATATTTTCAAAGCTTCGGGCACGACACAAATCTTTCCAAATTCATCAGAACCATTTTTCTCATATCTAACAAGTTGGATGGGACTACCTTCTCGTGAAGGAATTCCGTGCCCGAAGGGGTTTCCGGATGATGTTACCATGTTGAAGATGGGAAATACAACCGCACACAGTCAACTCGATTTAAATACTGTTCAGTGTTGACAATCGATCACTCCTTATTAAGTTAACAATGTCATCTCTTGCGTTTGTGAGACTACTTCAGGCTATGTTCCCTTGAGGCTAGACATTTTAAGCATACACAAGCCCTGTATAACCTGTTAAGGTCAGATATTAATACTGTTTTTAAATGTTTAAACTTCCGATTTCGTAAATTGGGCGTTTTTGTGAGAATCGAGAAACTATTTTTGGGGCAATCCGATAATCGAACAAACAGACGGAACCTACCTGCAAAACAAGCGAAATCCATGGAGTTTAATCTCCGCGATTGTAGTAATAGTCATTTGTTTGTATTCTGGATATCCGAGATTAAATAATATTCTACAACAATTTTGCTACGCCCCCTTCTTTTTTATAGTAGAAGTTATCGTAACATTAGTGCAGCCTTGAAACAAAGAAAAAATAATGTTTTCGTTGTTCGGATGTTCAGATTTTGGGTCACGACTTTTATGCCCGTTACATATTATATCGTAGATATTATCTCGTTATTGAAGGTTAATTTCAGCCTCAACATTAATATTTCTCTTTCCACTGTAATGCTCCGATTGGATTTTCATCAAGAGTATCCGCATTTCGCTTCAGTTTGGGACGCTTCTTGTTTATTCAACTGTCAGTTTGCCCTCTCATATTTACTAGAGAAGCGGTTTCAGCTTCATACAAACATGATTCGAATACCGAAAACTTAGTTGTTACAAACGGGCATGTATCGATACAAAAGGTTTGTCAAGTAGCAGGTGAACAAGATCTATTCACATGATGGAGAATTGTTAGTATCATTCTTCGCATATACAGTCAACTTTGTTTATACCCAACGGGTTGGCATAGCTCTCTATGTCCTTCCGGAACCGGTATATGGAAAGTTTATAAAAGACTCCGGTATAAACGAAGAATTTTCATATGAAACGAACGGTGCGCAAGAATCAGCATCCGGTATAAAGAGATTCCGGTGTATACTGTACATTTCCGGGAGCCGACTTTTATCCTACGAAAAACGTTAAAATTAGGTTATGTGACTCGAATTTTTAAACACTGTAAAAATAATCCACATATAACTCTACGCAAATTATACTCATTTAAAAGCGCAAAAAACTGCTATCAAGTTTATAAAAAATTATCTTGCTTCTTCGTTGAGAAATCGAATTTTGAATCTACAATACTATTTTGTAGTCACCAACGCAGTTACGTGAAATTAATACTGAATTTAGCACATGCGTACGTATTAGTATAGTGTACAACATATCTACAAAAAATTGCAGTGTATTAGCTAACAATTTAATAAATTAAACCAACTTTGTGTTCCGAAAAACTAAATTAAGTTATGACCTGAAAGTTTAAAATGTTTAAAACATCAATCCACGTAATAAATTTACATTCATCCGAAAGCGCAAAAAACCTGCTATTGAATGCAAAAAGTTTAGCCAAACATCTTGTTTGTTGTTGAGGAAACAAATTATTAATTGAATATATTTCAAGTTGTATACGAGAATATTTATGAATATTAAGTTGCATAATCTTTAGCTTTAAAACTGTTTTTACTCTACTTATACTATCCATATTAAAATAAAAATTTGATATATACTTTTCGGATTTTTTCCCATTCCCAATCTAATAACATTCAAGCAAGTGATCAATAGGATTAAGGTCTGGGCTCTGTCTGGGCTATTTCATCGAATTTATTTTGAAATTTCATGGTGAATGGGGTTTAAAGCAGTCCTGTTGAACTCATACTCTTCAACTTCTTGCTCCAAACTTGCATAAATGGCACCACAAAACTTCTTTAATATCTCTACTGTCAATATTCCCCTCAAGTCTGATTAAATGGCCTAAACAATCCCACGTAGAGCAGCTCCAAACCATTACCCCACTACCATGCTTGGATGTATAGTAAAAGAAGTAATCATTTGTTTATTGAAACAACATACTCACGCGTTTGTTCTTTGCCCGTTTGAGAGAGGTAATAGTAAAATGAAAATAAACATGATAATCGGGCAACTCTAAGCAGTTTTTAAATAACATACAAACATAATGCTGACTCCAAAGCAAGAAACGCAACGCCAAACAATATTACGAGTGCATTTATAATGGCCAAGAAATTCATCGCGCACAAATATTTCTTTTACACAATTTATAATAAATTGACTGTAAACCATGCAAGAGGTAATGGCCGGCCAGAAATTTACCGGAAATGCCTCTGTCGAACCAACAATCGCGGGAGAGTAATCGATCGCTGACCTTAAGATTTAGCTATTTCAAACGGAGCTGTGGCTTCTACTTTTACTTAAATGCGACGACAGTTAGAGACCTCACAACCTTGCTTCGATCGGTAGACACTAATCCTAGACGGTTATTCGCCCTCGAGTTAATCGACTATTGGGTTAATCCGGAAGCCTATAGGTTGGGTGTTTATTTGTATCTTCTAAAATGCATTTCCACTAAAGCAAATAACAATCGTAATGCCACGAGAATATCCACGACAAGAGACGGATATTCCTAATCTATATAGGGATTAGTGGTTTACAACTACAGTATATTGAATAATTTACCAGAGAACGAGTAATTATGTGTTTCTGAGTATAAAAACTACTCGTTCGTTAAAAATACTGTACGAGGAAGAAAAGGACGAGAAAGAGTCTCAGGGTACTCTCATCAGCTTACCCCCCTGACAAATTTGGCAGGTAGGTAAGTTAAAGGGGAGGTAGTGCTCATAAGATCTTGCCAAATAAACTGGAAAGATTTCTTTATTGTTTGATAAGTTATACATGTCATAGAATAAGATTATAGTAGAGACAATAGTCAATTACTATTTATTGTACCTCCCTTTGGGGGATGTATGTTCGATCGAACTTATAAATTTTCGATAATTTGTTAATTCGATCGCTTAAATAATCTCTATTAAGCCAGTGCATATAAATAATACTATAATTACGTCCGTTAATTCGACCACAGTCAAATCAATCGAAAAAAAAAACACCTTATGTCACATTGAGTGCCAAACAGAAGCAAGAGATATGTCAGCGAAAAGCTAAAAACCCTCAATCATCTAACTCGGAATTAGCCAATATCGTGTAGGAAAAACAACCGTACAGAATAATCAGAGAAATGGATGAATATCGATATAATAAACCTTATTATTATGCTAAACGATTAAGAAATCGAAGGCCAAAATGGCAAACGCTGGGAAGAAGCCCTATCATTATGGACGTCTGATTGGATATTCGTTAATTCGACCTTTACGTTAATTCGACGACCCGGTCGAATTATCGGCAGTTGATCACGGGTAACGCAAAATATAAACCCATAGCATATCCTTGTTGAGCAGCTCTTCGATAGAGCCTGATTGCCTTCTGATCGTCTCTTCTCACGCCATCTCCAAACTTATAACAATCACCTAAGCGAGCATGCCATCGTTGGGCAGCAGGTAACCGTTTCGGATATGTTGTAGTGTAGTGGTATGTCGTATGGAATGTTGTCGGATATGTATTATATGCTGTACGGTATGATCCGTTAGTGTGGTATGTCGCTGACATGAATCAAATAATATTTGTATCTTATTGATAGCCTGAAAAAATGGTCAGACTTGAACTACTCAACGCTTTGGTGAAGGTATTTTCATCAAGGCAGATTCATTTACCACGCAAGCCGATAAGTGAGACCAGGTGAGCACGCATCACACTAGTTTTTTTTTATACGTCTCGTATTGATTTGTATGGATTGTAGTCTTCCTTATCCGCTTGCCTCAGACGTATCCGTGCAAGATTTCAACTCTTTCATCGAAAGCAAAGACGGTATTGGATACAAGATTGAGTATAAAAACGGCACTGTATACATAGTTGATATGCCCACAACTGAACATGGGAAAGTTGTTTTTCTGTTGAGCAAATGCTTCGATGTTCCAAACGGTGGCGTTCCCGAGTTTAATTCTCCACTACAAATTTCTGGACAAGTTTACTTGATCTTTGGCTTAAGCCAATCAGATAAGTGAGTCACGTGGTAAAATCTTCCTCCGCAGTCATGATCAACAATTAATTTTGGTATAGTGGTATGCATATTTGTATTACTCAACTTCAAACTGTTGTAGAGAAAGGTTTTACTAATACACTTGAGGTAAAGACTACCAAGATGAGTAGAAGGGACTGCCGAGAACATGTCTATGAAAAAAAAATAATTGTGTGACCATATCGTTAACCGCCATTTTGATAGATCAGGGCCCATTTACTCAATATTATCTCAATAAATTGAACGCTAGATAGGTGTACTTGCACTAAAAAGCTAAAACATATTACATAGTTATAAGTTAATAATAGGAAGTTAGCTATAGACCTCTAGAAACCGGCTACAGAATAGGGAGTTAACTTGAGCTATCTTATTTGCAGTTTAAATACAGCCGGGTGCACATCCCTGCCTACCCGCACCTATATTTATTGACTATTTTATTAGCAATGACATAGTTGATCTACAACAATATTTTATGACCTTCGCGTCCTTAACCATTAGGTCAATTCCTCTCAACCGGCAGAACCAGAAAACGCTAATTCCTCTACCAATTCACTCTGGCTTGGTAAATATGACTATTATTTGATTGAGAAACGCGCGCTATAGTTGATATATTTATACCCACCTATGGGCTATCATATTAACGTTTACAATACCGGAAACTCTAATTAAAAATCACCAACTTGTCGAATTATATTTAACAGGAGTAGAGCTCGATTGATCCCAGGGTCAATATTCAAACGCTCTTCCTTGATTATTGAGTCGACTATGTTACATAGTAAGGGAGTGCCGTATTTAATAAGAAAAGTTTCACCGAGAAACTGCTTTCCCTTCTCAGAATTGTTTGACACTAAAGTTTTCTTGGTCGCGAATATATATAGTTTCAGTTTAATATAAGTCTGCAAACGTTCTATTAGGTTGAACAGTGTTAAATACATAAATAGAACAACAATTCTGAAGTTTCCCGCTAAAAATGGTATTATATCATACTAAATTTAATAAAAAAGTAAGCAGTATGAGGCATTTATTCATATAATCTAGTATCCAGGCCATGCTTGCGCGAGCCTTATTTAAAATCTAAAAATGAACCTAGCCGTCTCTAAAAGCGATTTTGAAAAATGATTGGGTCTCATACCATATTTATAGAATGACGCAAGTACCTCTCTTCCTATGTTGCGTTTTGTGTATTCGCCTTCAGTCTATATCATAAAGAACATATATTAGGGAAGCGTGAATTATCAAATCTCAGTTCAGGGAATAGATACTAACAAATAATTGATCAAATTTCAACCCTTGTTCAACTAGATTCCGTAGTGTTTTCGCCTGCCTGCTCTTGAATATATCAGCTCTTTTGAATTTCTATCTTGATATGGCTTCTTAGCTTCTGTCATATCGCGTTGGAATTTCTCCTTAAACTCGTCAATTTGCTTTAAAGTCCCAACGAGGCCTCCTACATATTTTTTCATAATGCGCTTAGAAAACGTCTGATCCATTGCATTAAAGTTAATCCAAGACATCGGTATAGACTCTGCTATCATCTCCAAAAAATTTCGATATATTCCAAGACACTTGTCTCGCATATTTTGTGCTACGTATTGGATGATTTCATATTCATTCGGAATAGATAGATGAGCATTGTTTTCTGGGTCGTTCATCTTTTCCACACAATCAGTAAGAAACATTGCAAAGGATAAACCGTTCATTTTCAGGTGACCTATATATTTGGGTTCGAGTTTTTTGTATATCTGCCTAACGGATTCGGCTGTTTCTTCAACAAATTCATCATCAAGATCGGTTGTGCTGACTGCTTGCATCTGTTGAAGGCGCTTGCCTCCGATTCCTGGGTGCTGTATTGTAAAAAATTGTTTACTGAGTAAGAACAATTTTATATAAAGTTATGAGAAAGAAGTTAAAATGTACGTACAGGTAAAGCAAAGACACTGAATTCTTTGAATAATTTTTTAATGCCTTCGGCAGCTGTTGATGTTGGGGAGAGAACCGTTAGCTTTAGCACAACTTTCTGCATATACAGAAACTAGACAAAACAAATACCTTTGCGACTGGTTCTTGCCAAGTTATCCAAGAAGTATTTTTTTTAAGAAATCTGGTTTTTCTAGGCCAAAATCTCTAAGCAAAATTACTAGATGGGGTAGATACTCTGGAGGTTGGATATATCTGGATAAATCTCGCATTAAACGCAACTTGCCAATGTCGCCACTTCCTACCACCCCGTTTATATTGTAGATAAAAGACGACGAAAGCACAAGGCAAAGAATGAACAGCTTGGTTGCCCATTCCGCCTCTTGTTTCGGGTCATCGATGCCTTCGGTATCGAGCACAATAACTCTGCGGTTGAATATCATATTATGAGTTGACATGCTAAATTACAGAACTTACAAGACGGGCTAACTTTAAAATGATGTATACCTTTTGTCTTCGTAATCAAAAGGTATATCCCACATGTAGATACCTCTTGTACAGCCGTTAGCTTGCGCTCCGAGTTCAAATCCATCATGTCGACCATGCAATGCATTAGCGAACCTAAACAATTGTAAAATACTTAGACGATTGGTTGCCGACAAAGAAAAGCCTAGCCACTCGACTATGGGCAACAATTTTAACTGATATGACTTGACTAGAACCTATATCCATGTCAAATACGATATTTAATATAAAATGCAATCTTACCATGACTTTCCTCTTCTGTACGAGCCGACTAATATTTGAGTAGCATAGAAGTTAACTTTTTGTCAATCTTGCGACCGAATTGATAGTAATTGATTTACCAACGGCTATTACTGCTACGGGCTCTTTTATCCGTTGTAATATTTCCAAAGCTTCGGGCACGACATGAATCTTTCCAAATTCATCAGAATCCTTTTTCTCGTATCTAACAAGTTGGATCGGACTACCTTTTCGTAAGGGAATTCCGTGTCCGAAGGGGTTTTCGGATAATATTACAATGTTGAAGATGGAAAATACAACCGCACAGTCAAACTCGATTTAAATACTTGTTTGGTGTTGACAATTGTTACGGCGAGCTGATCTGATGAATAAGTGAGTCACATGGTAAAATCTTAAGTAATAATAGCGTTTCGAAAAATTAGTGACAGTACAAAACGCTATAAATGGCATAATTAATTGTTCTATAATAATTAGACAAAAAAAGCGTTTCATTTTTTTAGTGACGCTCGAAGATATATAAGTAGCTCATATTCCATCGTCAAATCTTCATGTTATTATGCTTTGAAAACATTTAATTTTTAGACCGGACACTCCAATAAACGGCTCACTTAAGCTGGAACGGAATAGTATTGATTTGATCAAGCTAATAAGCTGTCCGCGGATCTATTACGTGAATAACGGAACGAGAGTTCATAATTAATTATTGAGACGAGGTTTCGAGTTCTTTATTGATCACACATGGGTGAACCCTTATTTAGTATTAGTGTGTGTTTAACATCAACAAATACAAAACAAAAACATAGTAATAAATAAATATAAGACATCTCATAGACACCCAGAACCCTGTGGGACTAAACTGGTGGGATGCCTTGAACTACCTTATTTGATGTATAAGTATACTTGGGTGCAACCTATCTGTACAATCCTGCCTACCCACACATATACTTAGGAACATATTTGCTATATAATTATTGAAGCGATTATTGTTTAATTATTTTAGAGAGACAAGTGACGGATACCCGACGTCGGAAAAACAAACCGAAGACAGCCTTGTTTAAATTTTAAAAGAAATAGTATTATTCCCCTTCGATTCTTTAATAGAATAATTGTTGTTGTTATTCTATTAGAATCCTTATTTGTATTCACGAGTGTTTGAAACTCGGATAGGGAGTGAGAAACGTGCATAATTAAAATAGGTCACTTGAGGCTTAATTCAGCCTTAATTGCACAACTATCGTAGTAAGGGCGATAGTACTGGTAACATCCCCCGGTCGGCGAACACACCAACGCGAAAGATAAATCGCTCTCAAACCCCCCCCCATTTAATTCCCGACCGTAACACAATAGATCACTCTATTAAGTTAACAATGTCATCTCTTGCGTTTGTGAGACAACTTCAGGTCATATTCCCTTAAAGTTAGACATTTCAAGCAAACACAGGTCCTTTAAACTCATGTTTGTGATTTCGTAAATTGGTCGTGAACACAGTACTATTTTTGGCAAATCCGAGAAGCAAACGCTTATAAGATACAAGCTAAAGTGAAATCCATGGAGCTTAATCTCCGCGATTGTAGTAATTATAATATAATACTCACCTGAGATTAAATAATATCCTCACCCATTATCAAAATCGAAATGAAAATATGTCTTGCTGAGACTATCTCACAGGAATTTACACCCTCCACTCCCTTTTGGGCACATGCTTTCAACCACAACCCATTCTCTTCTTGAGAAAAGAAATATAACCTGTTAATTATCGCTGGCGAAGGGCAGAATAGCTCGTCGTTTTATAACGCCTAGAAACTAATTGAACAATGAGGTATAATCAAGAATTTTATGTGATTCGTATCTTCTACAACTCACGCAAGCATTACTCGATGTATCGAAGTACTCACCTGGCTATCAAACCCCTCTTACAGCCTGCTGGAAGATCTCCTCACTTCCATCTCTCCACACCCTCCACAACATCCTCCATCCACAACCTCCCAACAATCCTGCCTTACTGTCACTTGGCTCAGTCTCCTGGAAAGAAATCTCACATAGCTTGCATCTTGGCAGTGGTTGCCAGTCAGACAATCAATTGCCAAAATATCCCCAGACAAATCTTAATGCCCCTGGTGCCCAAATACACCCTCCTATAAATAGAATCTTAACGTCTACAATACCGAGCAACCCCTAGTTGGTGGTCATTAACTTGTCGAACTATATTTGGCAGGAGTAGAGATCGCCAAGGCAGGGTCAATATTCAAACGCTCTCTCTTGATTATTGAGTCGACAATGTGAATAAAATAAGGTATAATTATGTTACATAAGTTAGGGAATACCATATTTTGATGGAAATAAATAAAGGAATAAAATGAAAAGTTTCACAAGAAACTGCTTTCCTATCTTTAAACTAAAGTTTCTTGATCGCGATTATATATAAAAAGGCTGGAAATCGAGACAATATGAAACAATGAGTATCGTGTGCCGTAATTATCAGCTTTGCCCAAAATTATATAGTTTAGCTTAATGCAAGTCTGCAAACGTTGAAGATTTTGGTTAAATACATAAATAGAACAAAAGTTTATTGTAAAAATTTCTTATCGAAGCTAACAATTCTGAAGTTTTCCGCTAAACAAATAGTCTAAAATCTATTAATCAAGTAAGCAGTATAAGGAATTATTCTTGTATTTGGGCCCTCCTCGTGCCCATTCTTGGGGTTATTTTAACTATCAAAAAGAGTTAACAAACGTCGGCGCGAGCCTTATTTAAAATCTAAAAATAAACCTTGCCGTCTCCAGAAACTATTCTGAAAAATGATCGGACCATACCATATTTATTGAATGACGCAAATCCGTCTCCTACCACCCCCACTATTTCGCGCTGCGTGTAACTGACTTTGTAATCTTGCCATATCTTCCGCATGTTTGATTCTCACGTCATTTATTACTCTCTGGTTCTCAGCTTTAAGTCTTTCCATATTCACTTCCGCTACATGTTGCTGCTCTATGGCTCTCTGAATCTCTGCGCTCTTTGCATCCAATGTTTCCCTTATGGTTTGCATTTGTTGATCACGCTCCTCCAACTTGTTGTTAAGTTCCATTTCTTTCTTAGCAAGGTCCAGGTATTGTTCATGGAGTTTCTGTCGTTCTTTCATTTCGTCGGCCAGTTTGTCGTTGAATACATTGAGGTTCGTAAGAGTGTCGATCGCTGATTTATAATAGTTTTCCTTATAATACTTTAACGCTTCTATGGCCTCGGGAGATTCAATACAAATTTGTCTAAGTTGCTGTTCAAAATTACTAAGAGCCTCGCGGAATTCGCCTTCAGTCTATATCATAAAGAGCATATATTAGTGAAAGCGTGAATTGTCAAATCTCAGTTCAGGCTGACGCGCGGTGAATAAATACTTACAAATAACTGGTCAAATCTCAACCCTGGTTCAATCAGCTGAATCCATAGTGTTTTGGCCTGCCTGATATTGAATGCATACAGCTCTTTTGAATTTCTATCTTGATATGGCTTCTTAGCTTCTTCCA